AGCGTTTGATGGGGCTGCGGACGCTGCCATTTTATTTATTTTTATTTACAAAATACTGTCAACCCTCCTTGAGGGTTATTACAGGAGTGGAAAGGATACAAACATTATACAAGCAAGGCAATATAGTGGCAATACAAGAAGAGTACATAAGAAACGCGCGATCATGATAATAAGTAATGTATACATCATACAGGCATAGTTGCCTTGAACCAAATGATGAAGAAAATAAAATAAAATGTTAGAGTGTGGATGCTTTCTCCCGAACGCAATTAGGTTAACACCTGGAACTTGGGAGCACAGACATGAGTTTTTCAACGCTTTCTAAAAATTTTTGAAGTGTTGGCTGTGCTACAGTATCTGGATCAAGCGCATTCCATTCTCTTATTACGCGAGGGAAAAATGAAAACCTGAAGGTATTGTTACTGCAGAAATATTCTTTGAAGATGAGGTCGTGTTTTTGGCGCACTTTCCCTTTTTCTTTTATAGTAGTGAAGACGGAGGCATTAGTTTTAAAGTGGCCGTGCAACAGTTGATAAAAGAACTTCAACCGATGTATTTTTGCTCTATCGCGGAGCGTAGGTAGCTCTGCTCGGAGCAGAAGCTCGGAAGGGGAATCCGTTCGCCTATAGCGGTTAAAGATAAATCTTACCGCCTTGCGCTGTACGCTCTCGAGCAAAGCTATGTCAGTATTTGTTGAAGGAAACCACACTATATTCGCATATTCTAGCATAGGTCTTATAAAGGAAATGTAAGATAAGCGCTTGGTATCTGTGGTAGCGTAGCGTAGGGTCCGTTTTAGAAAAATCAACTTGTTTATTGCCTTTTTCGTCACCTGATGTATATGCGCAGTCCATTTGAGGTCAGATGATATTAGAAGCCCTAAATATTTATACTGAGTTGCTGTGCGAAGGGTGACACCATTAAGTGAGTATGGAAATAATAGTTTGTTTTTCTTTCTGCTTATGTTCATCACGACCGTTTTTTCGGAATTAATAACCATCTGCCAATCATGGCACCACTGGGCTACGTTGTTTAGGGAATCGTTAAGGGCAACCTGATCGTCAATGTGTTTGATTTCACTGTAAATCATGCAGTCATCTGCAAACAGTCTAATTTTAACGTTTACTGATTCAACAATGTCATCTATGAATAACAGGAACAAGAGCGGAGCGAGAACGGATCCCTGCGGAACGCCCGAAAGAACTTTAACAGTGTCAGAATTTTGTCCATTATAGTGCACAAACTGGTAGCGGTCTGAAAGGTAATCACTAATCCATTCAACTATTGGACCATTGCCTAGTTTGTCTATGAGTTTAGTGATGAGTTTAGAGTGGGACACGCGGTCGAAGGCCTTAGAGAAATCTAAAAAAATTACATCGATTTGTGATTGTTCATTTATTGCCAGCCCGAAGTCATGTATAGCCTCTGCAAGTTGAGTGACAGTAGATAGCCCACTTCTGAACCCATGCTGAGAAAGAGAGATGAGGTTGTTTTCTTCTACATGCTTGGTTAATAACTTTAAGATAATGTGCTCGAGAATTTTGCAACTAGTGCAAGTTAAAGAAATTGGCCGGTAGTTCGTTGGGATAGAAGTATCACCAGATTTGTGCACTGGCACAACTTTCGCGATTTTCCACTCCGCCGGAAGACGGCAATCGCTAATTGACTTTGTAAATATGAGATGGAGGTACTTGCTAATGGGTTCAGCATAGCGTTTAAGGAAGGTGTTTGGTATTTCGTCTGGGCCACTACTTTTCTTTTCATCAAGGTCTAATAGCAGTGAAAGAATGCCAGGTACTGTCATATTTAACGACGGAAGTGATCTGCCTTGGTCATCGTGACGGGAACCCGGTGTAATCTTTCGGAGGTTATCAGTGCTAAAAACAGAGTGAAAGTAAGAATTGAAATTATTCGCCTTTTTCTTGCCCTCTTCAGCTGGAAACACCGATAATGTCGACCGTTTTACGCTTATGTAGCGCCAGAATTTATCGGGTGCGCTTTTAATAAACTTTTGTAGGGTGTGTCCATAAAAATGCCGTTTTGCGTCTCGTATCTTTCCTTTTAAGGTCGATGTCAGCGTTGCTATTTGTGAGCTAGCACTTCCTAGCGTTTTTTTTGCCTTCTTTACACGCTTGATTTTGCGCTTAAGGTGAATTATGTCGCGGGTAACCCATGGGTTGTGCTTTCTTGTAACCAGTTTTCGTTTGGGAATAAAGTTAGAAATACAATGCATGATATGATGCTTAAACTGTGCCCACACTTCATCTATGCTCGTGTTATCTGCACATAGCTCAGAAAACTCGGGATACTCGTGCGACAGGTAACTCATTATCGCCGCATCATTAGCTTTATTGAAGGAGGGCACATATTGCACTGGGCCAGATTGCCGTATTGGAGTTGCTAAAGGCAAAGTACACAAAACTATTTTATGATCCGATATGCCATTAATTGTTTCAACACTTGCACTGTCGGTGGAAAAGTGATCACTTGCAAATACAAGGTCTAACACTGAGTGCGACTGTCCTTGTGTTCGTGTATTTTCGACAACAAGCTGAGTTAGGTTAAAAGCAAATAAGAAGTCGATGACTATATTATTCGACAGGGGACCTGGACTTAATGAGGACCAATTTACATCAGGTATGTTGAAGTCACCTGCCATGATAATCCTGCCACCGAGCATATGTAAATTCATATAATCCAGAAGGGGGTTTAGGTACGACGCATCGGCGTTCGGGGGCCTATAAACGGCGCCAACATACACGTAGCCGTCTTTCAGGAGAAGCTTACACCAAACCGCTTCGACACTGTTCACCTCTGGCATGACCGTGTAAGCGATTCCCTGCCGTAAAACAATTGCTACTCCTCCGCCTCTAGTGTCCCTATCTTTGCGGACAATTGTGTAGCTCGGTGGCACAATTTCATGGTCATATATATTTGAATGTAGCCACGTTTCACTCACAGTAACAATATCAGGTTTTTGGGCCAATAAAACAGCTTCAAATTGTTCTGCCTTGTTCACAAGACTTCGCGCGTTTACATTTAGAAGGGTTATGGGCGTTGTCGTCGAGAAGACTGCGCCGTTGGTAGTTGCTCTTCGTTTTTTTTATTTACTTGTGCGATATTTTTACTGTCTTCGTCCCAAGTAAAAAGACGACCGTTTATCTGAACTTTGTCAAAAATAAGCCTTACCCTTTCCCCTCTATCGCGGTTTTCTTTCGTGATTTTCCACAGTTTTCTTCTAGTTTCACGCACGCCAAACGAGTAATCCTCGCTTATTGAGTAACCGCTCCCTTTCAGTTTGGAACAGGACTGGAGTATTTTAACTTTGTCGCGATAATCGAGCAACTTGAGAATTATTGGCCTGTTTTTCGGATCGCCTTCTCTAGTTCTACCAAGTCGGTGGATACGTTCAATGCCTGCACTCTTTACGTCTAGTATATCTTCAAATATTTCCTTTGATACGAGGTTATGAAGCTCTTGAAAGGACTCGTTTTGTTGTTCCTCAACTCCGTACACAATCAGGTTGGACCTCCGACTTCTGTTCTCTAGTTCTTCGATTTTCCTATTCATGCCTTTGATGTTATTTTCTAGTTCCACTATTCACTATTATTTTTATATAGCTTGTAAGTGATAACGTACGATGTAGAGCCTTTGTGAAAAATAATGAGCCAAAGTGGTTTCCTTCTGCTATTTATTAGCCCTGTAATACCGCTCTCGTAACACCAATTAAGGTCCACAATTCTGGATAAGTGATGACTACAATCTATTTTAGCTCGCAAGCGTCACAGCAACACCCAGACGCAAATCACTTGGGATCTTAAGTTTTTGATGATAAGAAGAGCCACAAGACCTGCCAGTGTTGTAGCATAAAGTTTGTCTTTCACTTAGTGAGCAAGCTGCAAAGCCCTACCTTTCTGAGGACAAGCAGGCATCAAGTCTGCTTTTTTTCATTTTGGACTAGCTGTTCTTAAGCACAGCCAGCACACTGCACCTTTGCCTTCTGCTATATTGTGTTGTGTGGTTTCTGTGCACTCTTTTTTTCTATGCATTATTTTGGTTAACCCCAGGCGTGATTCGCGACTTCATTGCTGTGTATATGTCACTTCTTCCTTCTTCTTCAGCATTGTGCGCTGTGTTTTTGCCATAGATCCTTACTTACCCGCTGGCCCGGTGAGTCATACTTCACCAGCTTCTCGGCTTCTGCCAACTCTAGCGATGTGTGTGTTGTCTGTGTTCTCTCTGTATTTGTTACAATATTTGTTACAATTTATTTTTAAGGCGAGATGCATTTGTTGTCTACCTTTGTCATATTGTGCTTTTTATATTCTCAGACTCTACCTTGCTTTTGAATAAAACATTGCGGATCCTCTGTCTCTTTGACTGATATATACATTGATCACTTGTTCCAAAAGAACAAGTGAACAAAAGAACAAGAACAAGCGCGAGGAATAAAATCTTAGTGAATTATCACTACCTGCATCTCTCTTTATTATAACTTATTCAAAATTAAAATAAAAAAATAAAAATAAAAATTCAAAATTTGCGCCAGTGAAACCGAAACAGAAAGTGCTCGCGACTTGCTCTCACCAACCACCAGGTGTGCTAGGGTCGATTGGGCCGCTGGGGTCTGCGGGAGTTTTCACCTTTTTTTATTTCTATATGACTATAGTTTTATCTCAGTGGCCTCGGATACCTGTGTCTCCAATTTTATAACTACCTTGTTACTTTTAAGAGTTTAGTGACTCCATCTTCCACACTCTATGTGGAGCACAGAGTCTGCAAAGCAGGTTTGGCGCCATCTAAGGGCCAGAAAGTAAGTAGATTTGTGGTATTTTCTGATGCGAGCGCGAATCGCAAACGCGACGGCATGGTCGCAGATGGCGAGAAAGCGCGAGCTGTAGCTTATAGTTGAGACGCTTTGTGATAGTATGGTTTCGCTAGTGGTGGCACCATATATGTGCTATGTGGTGGCATTTAAAAAAAAGGGACTGCGTCGGGGATATTTTGGGGAAACGATTTGATCGTAGACATGGCTCCTCCGGTGTCGTGCTGTCTCAGCGATGAGGCTAAGCTCCAGCGTCGGGTCAACGAACAGATCGAGCGGCAGCTGAGCCGCGAGCGTTTCGAAGCTGGACGCGAATCTAAGTTCCTGCTTCTGGGACCCGAAGAGGCTGGGAAGACGACCTTCCTCAAGCAGATCCGCCTCATCCAGGACGGCGACGCGCGGGAGGATCGCGCCGAGCACGTGCGTAGCGTTTACCAGTCCCTCCTAGGAGCCATGCAGCGTATCGTGCGGGCCATGGACGCGCTGGGCATCGCGTACAGCGACCCGTCGAACGCCGAGAGCGCCATGATGCTGGCTAGTGTGCGCTGCGAGACGCTCGAGCCTCCGCTCACGGAGCCCGTGTCGGAGGCGCTCCGGCGTCTCTGGGAGGACGCCGGTGTGCGCGAGTGCTACTCTCGGCGCGCAGAGTACGGCGGCCTGCCCCCGTTTCTCCCAGACGTGCAACGTGTGACGCGGCCTGGTTACGTGCCGTCCCGCGAGGACTACCTACGCGTGCGCACACCGTCGCGCGGCGTGCTCGAATACGCGTTCGAACTGGACGACCATCCCGTTCGGCTTGTGGACGTTGGAGAACAACGCTCGGAGCCCAAGAAGTGGATCCACTGTTTCGAAGACGTGAGCGCGGTAATATTCGTCGCTCCCTTGTCCGACTACGACGACCTGGACAAGATGAACCGCGCGCGTGCTCTCTTCAGCACCATCGCCTCCAGCCCGTGGTTCGCCGAGTCGCACCTGCTGCTGCTGCTCAACAAAAAGGACTTGCTGGAGCAGAAGATCAGACGCTCGCCTCTGGGCGCCTACTTCTCGTCGTATCGCGGACCACCGGGTGACGCCAAGGCGGCGCGCGAGTTTCTGCGTCGCTCGTTCGCGGAGCTCAAGCCCGAACGTCCCGTCTACTACTTCTTCACGTGCGCCCTCGACACGGATGACGTGAAGTACGTGCTGCCGACGCTGCGGGAGATCGCCTGCCTTCGCTCCTGCCCCACCAGGGGCCGGCAGCCGTCGGACGCGTCGACGGCCAGCAATGCGGCGGCCACCTTCCAGCTGCCCGCCTGACAGGAGGAGCCCTTCGATTCGATACTGCCCGCCGCTGATGTGCTCTCAGAGGGGAGGCGGTAGGGGTGATCGCCCCCTCCCTTCCTCTTGAGTGCTTGCCGTCCACCTGCTATCACCAATTAGGACAAATGAGTGGGATCCCTTCGAGCACGCGTTAACAGTATTTATGGTATAATAGAGTACTAGTACTTGTACTAGTAAAAACAAAAAAGTAATGACCACGCCCCCTTCTCCGGCGTTACTTTAGGCACCCCCCCCGCCCACACACATACAATCACGGCCCGTCTGGAGGCACGCGCTCGCTCCCTTCCTTTACGGCCTGTGCACGGGGGGGGGGGGGGGGAGATGGGGTTGTTGCTACCTATGGCCGCAATTTCGTGGGGGCGCTCCGAGCCAACCCGCTCTAAGGTCCCTATATATATAAAGGTAGCGACAACTACACGCGCGCCCTCTGGAGGGGTCCAAGGAGCAGCACTAGCAGACGACGCTCCGCTCGCTCGTGTGCATTTGGCGGACGGCTGAAGCCGCTCTCAGTGCGCGTTTGAACCGGTTAATTATTGCCCTTTGTGGCGTAAGCTGCCCAGGAAACTTCAAGCAGTAGGGACAACGACTAACGATCCCAGGGCGCGTGAAGCTTTGCAATAAAACGTTCGTACTTTCGAAGCATCTCATTATATTGAACGGTGTTTCACAGCGGTAGTCATACGGCACTTTTTACGGTCGTTTGCACGATCTGAAATTCAGCTTACATTGAAGTAGAGGCGATATTTGGGTCAACTGAAAGTTCCTATTTTATAGTTCAAAAATATCGGAGGTTGTGAGCTTACCGAAACTTTCGGAAACATCATTGCGCACTGATTGCTTCTAATGGTGCGCAGCGAGTTACGTGCGCTCGTATCGCGTTTTTCAGTGCTCGGCAGTATTCCCGCGGTCTTTTAACGCTAACCGAATAATTTGTATACACAATACTCTAATAGCTTTATTTCGGATAAAGGATTTCGCTGCATCTGACAATTATCAGTAACCAGATTCAGTGGCGTAGCCAGGGGGTGGCACAGCAGGCCCATTTTCCCCTGTCCCCCCCCTTCATTTTTTTCGATAGCATACAGAGCACAAAATGACAGTCGCAAGTGAGTCTCATCTTTAAAGCCTTTATCACAGTCTTTTTGCTCCATTTGATTCTCCTCATGGTAGGTTTGTGTAGGCACTTTACTTGGTCTTCATTCAGATACTTCTTCAACCCAGCAACAAGTCGATTGCTGGCAGCAACTGCTTGACGTCTTTGCTTCTGTGCAAGCTTGAGCGTACGCTTGGTAGCTTGAAGTTGGACTTCCAGCTGCTTGATCCGGTTCAGCAATGCTGCATGTGTAGCTGGTACTGGAGATAAAAAATATGTCACATGTACCTGTACATATAACAAATGTGTGCAACTGAAGTAGCAAAACAACACTGACAACACTGAACACGAAATCCTTGCGCTCGATTCTGTGGAGCCATATTTTCCGTCTGCTGATGTTATGATCACCGCGAGGAATAGAAAAGAACTTCTTTCCATCCGTCGTACGGTTGCGGCAACTGTAGACACAGCAGCCCGGCATGCTAGCGTGTCATGCTGCAAACGTTGAATAAAAACACGTAATTCCCGCGTCCACTCAAGGGAAAGGTAAACAAGCACTTCTACATTGCAAAAACAATGCATCAGAGGCGCAAGAAATGTTTTTCACTAACCGAAACGTCCAATTCCACGCTCGGAAACGCAAACAACCACGCAATCCGCATGCACAGCGAACGACTGCTGGACCCTTAGGGCGAAGCGCGAAGGAGGAAAGGTCACGTGTCGCTAACCGGCCAATCGCGCGGTGAGGCGGCTGGATCAAGACCTTTCGCTACTTTTCGTAGATAGAGGGACTTTAACCCGCTCCCGGCCGTTGCGGAGGTTTAGCGCACACAGGGAGCGCTTGGCTTCCGACTTACCGTGGCGCTTGCTCAAGTTACTTTCCATGGTATTCATGATACCAATGCGATATAAACATGGTAGCAAGTATATATGATGACTCTGGTCAATTCTGCTCTTCAGATGTGGTGGCGCAGGCCGCTCATACGACCGCTTCTGTTGCTCGGCAGAGCATCGACGCGGTTATAACAAAGCCTTTTCTTTAGTTTCCTTTAACTTCGAGGATAAGTAAGAGGATGAATATTGCACTTGGTTGAGCAAACGGTCTGGTTATGGTTTTGAAAATGTTTATTTCAAATGCACTTGCCAGCTGTCGCTGTACTTGAAAATAGCAAAATTGCACATTTTTTGTTGAAGGCATCCTAAATCGGGGTTTAATATTGGAATAAATACTTTAAAAAGGTGAACTTCACTGCATAATGGGGAAGGCCACACCGGAGACGAAGAGTAAACATAAAAAAACAGAATTCGTTCAATGAGAAACAGAATGTTCTCCTTGGTACTGCTACAATATGTGCATAGAGAACTGAAAAAAAAAAAGCACTGCTGGTAAAACACAGTAGTGGCAATCACAGTTTAAAGTAGTCACATCTGTCACAGCCTGAAATGCTTCTGCGAGGGCTTGTGAATGAAACAAGAAGGCCTGTCATTCTGATCTGTTAACCTTTTTGTATAGTTTACTAAAAGAATCCGGAGAAACTTTTCAGAAATAATATGAGCCAGCACTCTGGCGTGACTCTTGTCCACACTTTCCGGACAGTCCAGATGTGGCGAATCTTCAAGGTATGGCTCAACAGTCAATTGCAGAGTCTTGAGGATCTTCGTTTGAGGAAGATATTTGACTGGTTTCTCGAAGAACGTCACAATTGTGTCCAGCATTGATAGTAAATCCGGTTTCGGGTAGTGTAGATCATAGGCTTCTTGCTGACGGAGAAGTTGGTACAAAGGACTGTTAGTTTTATTTGTCGTCACTAGCACGGCGCAAGCTTCGCTATTGACATCACTGATGAGCGTGGCAATGTAACCACCTACATACACCAAGCCTAAATAGGCGACTGATGTTGGTGGTCTGCGAGGAGGTTCTAGCAGAGCTTCAAGTTTCTCAATAACATCTTCCCGAATAGACACCGCCGCTCCTTCAATGTTTTCGTCGCAAATTCCCGTGGCTTTTGAGGAGGAAGAGGAGGAAGAAACTTTATTCAGAAAAAAAAAAAATTGAAATGCAGGCAGTTTGGTCGGGCCCTCAGTCCAGAGCTTTGCTGGCACGAGCGGCTCGCTGGACCTGGTCAAGCAAAGCTATTTGGCTCTGCTTGTCCTCATCCGCAAGCCATGCCTCCCACTGCCTGTGAAACATGTGTGGTTGCTTCGTGATGTGTGGGCTGTCGATGTGTGTGGGCCTCTGGGTGCACTCCCATGTTATGTGGCTGAGTGTTGGTACTTGTGAACACCACGGACAGGTGTCTTTATATCTTGCGGGATATATTCTACTTAGATGGTACAAATTGGGAAAGCTATTGGTTTGTATGCGTCTCCAATCCCTGCTTTGCTGGCTATCCAAGTCCTTATGTGGAAGCCCATATTCCTTTCGTTGCTTCCTTTGTTGGAGGAGGATGTCACGCGAATTGGAAAGAGGTTCAACGTCGTGGCCTGCCGTCGCTCGGTTGGTGATGCCTCGAGCTATACGGTCTGCCACGACGTTCCCCTCCAAACCTTCGTGAGCAGGACACCATATAATGTGATGGTCTCCTGTTATGGGTTTATTTAAAAATTTATACGCTATTTTAGGTAGCGTTCCTCGGAGAAACATTCGGCATGCCGCCTGTGAATCGGAGAGCACAATTACTGATTCTCCCCTGATTTCTGCGTTGGATATGGCTATGGCTATTGCTGCCGCCTCTGCCACTCGTGTGAAACAAGTTTTAACCGACGCCATTGTGGTGTGATTTTGTGCTACAATTGCCACTACATGTGACCCTCTGCTCGCTTTACTTACGTCTGTAAAGACGGCTTCTGAGCTATTCTGAAATGCTTTGCGTAAGGAGTCTGCTCTCGCTTTCCTCCTTCCTGCGTGATACGTCGGATGCATATTTCTGGGAATAGGCGCCACAGTTAAATGTGTGCGTTTTTCCGCATCTATTAGCACCGTTTCCTCGTCACAATATAACGGTCGCAATGTATATCCCATCTTTTCCAGAATTCTTCTCCCATGATAGCTTGAATTGATCCTTTCCTTTTGAGATAAAAGCACCGCATTCGCATACTCCTCAAAGGTATCGTATATGCCCAATTTCTCTACCCTCTCGGTTTTGGCATTTTCCGGAGTCCCCAATGCTGCTTTGAATGCTTTTCTTATTATTGTGTTTATTTGCTTTGTCTCCTGGTTTGTCATTGTCTGGTACGGTAGCGCGTACGTAACTCGGCTGATCACAAATGCATGAACGAGTCCAATGGTTTCTTTCTCCTCTAGTCCCATTTCGCTATTTGCTATCCGCCTGATCATCCGGGCCACATTCGCTGTGGTTCCCCGTAGCCTTTGTAGTGTGTGTGACGTTCCCGAATTTTCTTGTATCCACATGCCAAGCACGCGTATTATTACATCTGCCTCCCTGATTTGTCTCCCATCCAGCAGTACTGCTACCGGTATTAAGTCCTTTTTCTTTGCGTATCTTGCCCTAATTCTAACCATTTCAGTTTTTTCCGGCGAGCATTGCATTCCTGCAGCTGTCACGAAAGCTTGTATTTTATCTACTGCCTCCTGGAGGGCGTTTTCTTTGTCCGCATAAGAGCCACCCTTTGTCCATAAGGTGACAACGTCTGCGTAAAGAGCTGCTCCTAGACCTTTTATATTTTCCAGCTCACATGCGAGCTTTCTCAGGCCGATATTAAATAGTATCGGGGATAGCATGGCTCCCTGGGGGGTGCCTCTATTTGGGTAGTCGAAGGTTTCAGATGTAACCGAGCCTAAAGAAATGGTAACTTTCCTGCTTGTCAGAAATGACCGGACATACTCATATATTCGTTGGCCGCAGTTAATCGATTCGAGGCCTTCCATTATCACCTTGTGTGATATTGTATCGAATGCTTTCTTGATATCTAGTGCTAGTACCAATTCGTCGCTTGAACCTCTGTTTGGGTTCATGACGTCATTTTGCAACAGCAGGAAAACATCCTGGGCCGATACATGTGGTCGGAAACCGAACATATTCACCGGTAGCAGACCCTCTCTCTCTACATAGTCTGTCAATCTAGTCAATATTGTTTTTTCAAAAAGCTTACCCAAGCATGAAGTAAGGGAGATTGGTCGGAGGTTCTTAATATCTCTTGGTTTCCCTGGTTTTGGTATTAACATGATGTTTGAGTCCTTCCATTCTACTGGAAGGTTTCCTCCATCTACCCATACCTTTTCATTAAAGAAATCCGTGATTCGTCGAAGGGCCACATCACTCAAATTTCTAAGCATAGAGTTTGTTATTTTGTCTCGTCCTGGGGCGGTATTCTTTTTGAAAGACTGGGCCGCCGCATAAACCTCTTCAAATGTTATGGGAGCGTCTAACTCTGGTTGTTCTTTTCCTGCATATTTGCCATGTACCACTTCACATGCGTCTTGTCCGACATATAATTTCTTGACTTCGTAGATAAGTGCGTCATCGTTACCTTTAAATTCATTCTCCAGAATTCTTAAAGCCCTGTTCGTCATTGTTTTTGTTGCCCCTGGATTGATCATACTCCTCAGGATGTGCCAGGTCTTTTTGGTTCCTAACGTCCCTCTAAGTGAGTTACTAAATTGCCTCCAGTTACTGTTATTTAGTTTACGTGCGTAGTCATTGGCTTCCTGTGACAACTGAGCTATCCTTATCTTCAATTTGCGATTAAGCTTTTGCTTCCGCCATCGCTTTGTGAGGCTTCTCCGCGCGTCCCACAAATGTAGCAGGTGCTTGTCGACTGCTGGGATTTCCACGCTTGTTTCTATTTCCTTTGTCACTTTCCTGTGTGCCTCCTTTATCTGTGTCACCCAGTTACCTAGATCTATTATTTCCCCTTGGTCTCCTACGTTCTCCCTAAATTTGTTCCAATCAGATATTGTCGCTTTCCCCATTCTTCTTGTCGTGGCGGCATTAATACTTATTCCGAGAATGTAGTGGTCGCTTCCCAAGTTTTCTCCGAGGTGCGCCCATGAGACGTTTCCTTCAGAATTTGTAAACGTTAAGTCCGGTGACGTGTCTTTTGTTAAGCTATTCCCGACCCGTGTCGGTAGGTCTGGTTGTGTAAGTTCGCAGAGATCATACCGTTCAACAAGGTCTACAAGGAGTTTGCCCTTAGGGCTGTCCTGCTTATATCCCCAATTTCTGTGTGGCACATTAAAATCCCCCATGATAACTAACCTGTCTTTCTCTTTCAATAAACCCATCGCATGTGCTATAATGTTCTCAAAGTCGGCTCGTCTCTCCTTAGGTGGGCTATATATATTGACCCCCACTGTTTTTGGTCCTCCACGTTTTTTGGGCCACACTGTTATTATCTGGTGTTGCACTGCCTCATTGCTCACGTAGCTGACACTCAATGCGATATCTTTTTTGGTAAATGTCGCCACTTGTGGGTACTTTGGGTTAACATGTCTTATGTACCCTCTTAGATTTATCTGAAATTTGTCTACTTCCTGAAGGCAGATTATATCAGGAGGGATTGGAGATGCTCCAATGAATTGTTTGAAATTTTCAAGTTTTGTTCTCAATGAGCAGCAGTTCCACTGCCATATTTCCGTTTGCTCGGTCTTTTTATTGTTACGGCGTCTAGCCATGATTGGTATTCTCGGAATC